TGTAAATCAGACACACACCCCGTGACAGGATTAACAGACATGTGTCATAGCTGTAAAGAAATAATCTGGTTGCTGATGGTCTTGTTGACATTTGTAGGTCATATAGAAGCATCTGTGTTAATTTCAGTCAGTTTCTATACCAGCTAAAAGGGCCTCACGTGAGCTTTAAAATGCAGATAAGAACTAGTTTATAAGTTGATTTACAAAGATGATGAATAGCATGAATTTACAAAAGATGGAAAATGATTGCAATAACAATCCCTCAAATAATGTTCACAGAAGCAAAAATCTACCCTAAATCAATTTTTTTCTTATAAAATGACGTTGAAGATTAGATTAGAAGTTTTCATAGCACTGATATGAGAGTAAAAAGAGATCAAACCGTTTGCAGTGGTCACCCCTCAGACTCCCACAAAGCAGCTGTGTTTTCTTCGACACAGACATCACAAGCAGGGGTCACGCAGATCAGATGATGGCTGTATTCCCAGACCTCCGCCGCTGTCATCCAAAAATATCCACCGACACACTTGGCTTCTCTTTTTTTTCACAACTCACACCTACTTCTCTCTCATTCATGTTGCATCCAAAAAATCCCCCACTTACTCCAAGTCTCAAGCAGCTTTGATCACGATCAATGACTCTGATATTCATCCAGAAATCTCTCAAACTTACTATCATGTTATTTCAACATGCTTAGTTTTAGCCCCGCTTGCAGCTCTTGGGATGGAAATGTCTCCTCTCCACCAAGTGTGTCCAAAAACAAATATCTGAGCTACCACCATGAAATGTTCCCATTTCACATATTCATGCAGACAGCAGCAATTTTTTTTCAGATTTCACATTCAAGGTTGACAGAATGTTTTTGTGATAACCTACTTCTGCATTGGTTACAGAAAAGGTTATAAATCAAATGAGTCATTTTCTAAAGATAAATAATTAATTGCCTTGTTCACACACACTGTTTTCATGGGAAGCTGCATGTGTGAATACAAACATAAACTTTTTTCACTCACTCTTTATCTGAAGTTTCTCCTGCCAGCCTCCAGCTGGATATAATCAGGAGAATTCCCCTCGAGCGAGTGTGAGGGGGTGGTGACGTTTATTCCTTTCGATTGGTGCATGACCAGAGACTGTACTCAACTTCTGTAATCTCTGTTTACGTAATGAAACGGCTGCATTACTGTATGTTTTTTGTTCACCAGTAATATTTTATCATCTCTCTTGTTGTTGTTGTGATTCTGTAGAACTACAGCATTGAAGTAAAGGCAAATATTCTCATTATACTGTTGTATAGTGGACTCTGTTGACTGTCTCTTTCATGTTGTTATTTTTAAATCATGTCTTGCCTCAGGAGACCCCTCACCCCCTTCCTGTCATGCAGGGATAGTCTCCCGCTGTGAGGTGCATGTGTGAACAACCAGATCAGGAGGATTTCAGAGCAGCCCTCCTGAAATTCTTGAGAAGTTTTCAGGAGTGCATGTGTGAAAACCACTTATGACTTGACTTTAGCTATGGTGGAGTCCCCCCTGTTCTCTCTTGGAGGGATATGTCCACCTCCTACAGTCTACAGTGCAGTTTCACAGAATCACTGGCTTTTTGACTCGCCTTGCCCTGATTAATTCATATTTTGCCTCTCAGTTTTCCAGGAAACATCAGCTTATAACTAATATATTATGATGTGAATCATTCTGAATAACTACCGTGACCCAAGAAGAGAAGTATGACTGAAGAGTTTTACATGAGTGGATAGTTTTTTAAATTTTTTTAAATAAGTCAAATGAAACAGATTTTAAAGTCCAAAGAAAGCACTCAAGCAGTTGTTAAGCCTTTGCTGCCGCGTTCAAAAAGTATTTTGCTGCCTCCACATCTGAGGAAATGAATGAGCTGCTGAGTTCGGTCTGAGATGCCAGACGACAACACGGCGCTCTGAGCTCCTCTTCACCATAACCAATATTTGGTAAAGTGCTGCACGTCAGCACCTGCCAGGACCTCCTCTCATACTGCAGGTTTGATTTCAGCTCATACATCAGGAGAAGAGTGTGTGTGTGTGTGTGTGTGTGTGTGTGTGTGTGTGTGTGTGTGTGTGTGTGTGTGTGTGTGTGTGTGTGTGTGTGTGTGTGTGTGTGTTTTCATTCAATCAGACAGCTTAGACTTGGACCATAAATACCACTTAAAAGTGTTTGGTTTGCATTTGGAGATGACAGCTGCACGTGATGAGGAAACTATATGTGTCAGCCATATGCTGCTTCTAAGTATACACCTGTTTGATATAATGAACGTGTAGCTATCTCACACATAGTCAGCTACTGGTTTAATATAATCCACACAGTTATTACTATTATTGGTTCATCTAGCTGGAGACAGAGATATTGTGGGCTCTCGTGCAGATAGACCAAAAATACTCAGGAACAGAATTCACCCCCTGCACATGCTCCATATGTCAAATACAGTACATGACATTGTGTATAAAGCAGAAACTTCAAGTTAATCTAATAATGAACTAAAACAACTAAGACATTTGTATATTTGTACTTTTTCTATTTTTGTTGTTAATCCTAGACCGTATAATTTAGAGATGTAGCCTCCTGTCGTGTTCTAGATTATCATCTGCAATTTTGAAGCCTTAAATTTCACTGTTTTTGAAGATTTGTTTTTGGACTTTTTGTGCCTTTATTAGAAAGACACTGGGCAGTGGATAGAGTCGGAAATCAGGGAGAGAGAGAAAGTAGGGAATGACATGAGACAAGAGGACACAGGTCAGATGCGACCCCAGCCTGCCGGCTTTGAGGACACGTATCCTCTACATGAGGCTGGAGAACTAACCACTAAGCCACCGTGTTCCATGTTTGACATTGTTGACATCACCATCTTTAGATTTTGCAACCACGATGAACCATATTTAGAGTTGAGGTTACGCTGAAGAGCAACGAGTGGTTAGCAAACACCAAGTTTACATTCTGCAACTTCAGCTAATTCATTAACTGGTGAATACGCTTAACCACGAGGTTTTCTTCAGAATGACTTTCTATTTGTGGTGATATCTGATGAAAGTTGTTTATCTATCAGAAAACAATTATCTAAACTGGAAACTTACTTGCCCACTTTCCCGATGGGCGAGCAAGTAAGGAAACCAATCAGGTAACTTCAAACTACTTATCATTACAGCCCGCTGTCTTAGCTGCATAAAAAGTCAACTACAATCCTGGCTCTCATGCAGGAGTCACCACAAAGAAATCAATTAATGACAAATACTGAAAAGCTTGAAAACAAGAAAGCTTCTAATTAATGGAAATGTCATGAACCAGCAAAAATACAACTATAATGGTCACAATGTAAAAAAATGTGGTGTGTATGTCAGGTAATTAACGTCGGATGTTGAGTGAGTGTATCATGTGAAAAGAAACTATAGAATGCCGATTGACGGCGGGCCCACACAGGTGTGACCCCGCCCACCCAAGCGACCTGCAAGAAGACGCACACAAGTCCTTTCCAGATTGCATTTCCACAACTACGCCGTAACTCCCCTGTCATTGCGTCTTTGTACATTCAAATTTCTTCTGCAATGCCGTTACATTTTTGTCCACCAAAAACATTATTGTACCTCCCTGTAAACATGTTTATTTCTGCTGTAAGGTTACACTTTTAAATATGATGCCTAAAGGGGATTGAATCACCTCTAGAATTGGCCCTGAGTGGCCACTTGAGGAACTGCAGGGGGATTTTTTTGCAGCGGCCTCTGAGATTGCTGTTTGGTGTAATTACAACACGTGCTGTACAGTGACAAGTATACCCCTAAAGTTAGAGCTGACCCTTCTCACAACAAAGATTAGCAGCTTTTGTCTGTTCAAGTTAGCTCTTTTGTCGCAGCTCCATTACTCAAAGATGACGCCATACGCTGTTCCTCTCGTGCCTCCTTTGTTCAGGGTCAGTGTTTGCAAAGGTTGCACTTCTGCTGTGGACTTTAGTTAGGCCACAGGAAGAGCTGTTAGGCTGTCACCTCTGATGATTCTGGCCCCGTCAGCTGCTGGGATTTAACTAAACACTCATTCAGCAAATGTGAATGAAGCTGTACCCATGCCGGCTGTCAGGACTGCACGCAGAGGAGGGAGAAAAGATACAGGGAGACAGGGAAGTAAATGATGGCGTCTAAACTGTTGATCACAAATTAGGAAGGAATGAAGAAAATATTTAACCGTTCATGTTTGAAAAAGTTGTGTTACAGTTCTTTTGACAGGTATGCTTAGGAGATGCCCTGACTTTTTCTATAGCTTCTCCACATTCCCCTGCATGTTGCACAAAAATGAAATAGTGTGTCTTTTTTTCCATATGAGGCGAGCAAAGGCTGACCTGGAAACTGTCCGTCCCTCTCCTTTTAAACCTGTAACATCTCATAATACAAAAAAAGAGTGTAGTAACAAGGTGTAGAGTACATACATCGGAAGAAAAACATTCACAGGTGCTAACTGAAGAACAAAAGTTAACTGAAGATAAATGAAGAAAATAATTATCAGAAATATCAAGGACTCAAAGCACTGTCTCCTAATGGTCTTTTTTAGTCCCTTTTGTCCGGTTTGGCTCAGTACATGTAATAGCCTATTGTATGATCATTTTTTATCTTGTATTTTTATTACCTAAAAAAAAATCTGTGTTTTATTTTTTGTCAAGATGTTTTCGATGTCCTGTATGAAGCTCTTTCAGTCCTGTACTAAAATGTAGGCTACTAGGCTTTTAATAAACTTGTCTTGCCATTGAAAGCATTTGTTCTTCTGTAAATATGTTCAGAATAATGACTTTATATTCACAAATAAAATCGTGTTTTTTATTTCTTCTCATGGGGTCGTTTTCCAAACTCCTGAAAGTGTTTCAGAGTCCGGAATTCATTTTATTCCGGAGGTCTGTGAACTCATCACGGCAGGTCATCGTGGAGGGAGTCCTGATCCAGTATCCCGTTGAATCCGCTCCACGTTTTGCCCCCTCCTATTTTTAAACACCACCTCTCACTTTGGAGCAGTGGAAAACACACACAGGGCAGCAGATGACCCGGCGCAGCGGCCAGGAGCGCACAGTCCTCCACTACTCCTCCACCACCAGACCTCTAACTGATGAAAGGATGGGGGTCAACAACAACAGATAAACCCACCAGAACCGGATCAGGGTCCCGAGGGGGGGGGAGAAGAACCGAATTCCGATCACTTTGGCTCACTTTTTCTTGGATTTATCCCGGGTTTACTCCAACATGCCGTTCGCAGAACGGGTCGTGGAGCCTCAGCTGCTGTGCAGGTATCCAATCCCGAACGAGGAGGGTCTGCTGTACGAGGACCTGGTCTCCGTTAGTAATGTGGCTCTATCCCGGACCCTGCGCCAGCTATCGGACCTGGCCCGGCACGCATGCTCTATTTTCCAGGAGCTGGAGGACGAGCTCACGACCACCAACCAGCGGGTCCGGGGGCTGCAGGGCAAGATCAGCGGGCTGCAGCAGACCTGCTCCGACCTGGACCCCAAACAGGAGGCAGTCCGTGAGTACCCCCAAATCTCTGTTTTCTTTACTGTGATTATGAAGTCAGTTATAAGGAGGGGTTGTGTGTCAGTGTGTCTCTGAGGAGGAGGAGGAACCATCCTATTATTTCAACTTTTTACCTTTTAAAGCGGACTGGACCTCTGCTAGAAACATCTGAAAACAACAGGAAGAGAAATTAAATCAGTGAAGTTTACCAAACGTGTTTCTAACTTTACAAAAAAGTTTTTAAAGTCCTGAAAAATCTCGCTCCAGTTCTCGTGAGCGACGAGGACGCACAGAAGCCACTTTGTAAAGACAGAAAAGTTGCATTTTTCATCAACCACAGTCTTATTTTCTTTGCTCACCAGTTTGATCAACATGTATAATGTGTTCATAGAAGATATGATCATAGTGCCCTGTTGTGTTTGTTTGCATGTAGTCGTTGCACGCTGCTGTGTTCCCACGCTGAGGGGCGTGTGACAGCCTGACTGTCCCGAGTGGACTCTTCACTCACATATCAATCTGCTGCACTGCTCTGTTGTTTTGAAGCCAACTTTAGATATAGGGGCAAAACAAAAAAATATGGAAAGTGGAAACATGAAATAAAACATGCCTGCAGTCAAATATTAAAACAACGTAATGTTAGTAACATGCAGAACCATATAGAGTCGACATCACAGGTTTACATGCATGGTGTCACATTTAAACTAAGGAGCTCAGTCCTTCTCTTTCTGTCGTTTTCAAGTTTGGAGTTTAAGGAATATTTGCACTTTGCAAGACCTCTATCTGCAGTAACAGTGCTGCATGCTGTTTTTAGGATTATGCCTTATATTGAGTTTTCATCATTAACATTCACCACAAATTCACAAATGATTTAGACATTTCAAAAAAACAAGACTTTCAAACAACCAACAAGCAAAATTAAAAAGTGCATACACCTTCATCTTTGCAGTGCTCGTCGCAGATTGTCACATGTCAGTTTTATATCTCACATTCATCTGAGCACAAGTCATCGTGTGAAGTACAGAAAAAGGATAAAAACAACTAAACATCAAGTATCATTGTGATCAAACACCTTCAGATAGGAAGCCCAAATAGTTCTGAAAACCTTTGTGTTATTATTAACAATAAAGAAGCCACCTCATCTCTCCACTCCCTAAAGATGACTTTCTCTTTTGATTTCCAATGCGTCATCAAAATCTCGCACCCCCTTAATGAGTTATAATTTCACCTAAGATCACTTTATACGGCTGTGTGAAGTGAAAGATAACTTCTCTCATGAATAAGGTTTAAAGCATCAACAGGTGTACAGACACAGTTCTTTGATTTTCAAAGTGGGTTCTTTCCTGTTTCTTTATTCCTCAACAAACCAAATATGTGTGTGTTGTGGGAAAAAAAACAACATTCATCATTCTGAAGATGTTGGGACGTAGATAAACAGACACTTTCTCCTGACATTTTCAGAAGGAGCAACAAATCGTTTATTTGAATGTACTGAGCTTATTTCTTGGTTTGAACATGCTGCTCTGGTGTCCTGCTTCATGTGTTGAACTTTAGCTGACCAGAAGTAAGAATTCATGACCCTGATAACACAGCATGAGGCCCCCGCCTGCCTGGATCTCTTCCCCCTCCCTCCCTCCCTCCCTCCCTCTGGCTGTTTCTAGGTAGTGGTGGGGGGGGGGGGGGGGTGATGTGATGTTGGAGTGTGTTTATGTATAAACCAACTCACCAGGAAGCACTTTAAGGAAACCATGGACATACCCTGCTTTGGTTGAGGTCCAGCAGGTCTGTGCATGTTCCTCAGACCCTGCTTCCTGTGGGCTGTGGGGGGGTTAAACCGCTTGAAGGCATTTATCTGCAAAAAAGAAACCGAGCCTGACTCCTCTAATTTTAAACTCTGAGACATCTGCAGAGATTTCTGTGTCTCTTGTTTGCTCTTTTGTTTTCTTCCTGACCGTTTGCAGCGTGCTTGTAAAAATCTCCTGAGTCATCCTGCTCATATCTCAATTTTGTAAGTCAAAGGCCCGAGCCACTTTGAGCCTGATTCAAAGGGGCTCCATCAGTTCATATTTGCAAGTTCAAGCATCTCTCTGAGCGGGGGATTCGACACAGAGCGCTAATGCATGATTACAAGTGACACTTTTCAGTTTATTATGGTTTTCTTCTGACTCTGTATTCAAGCAGCGTGCACGCAAACTCATTGAAGACGAACAACTCTTAAAAATCAGCTTTAGAAAGTGAATCTTTTCATTAAGGAATAAAACACTCACGGCTCAGTTTGTGTTTAAGCTGCTATAACATTGATACCAAACAAGTAGCAACGTTAAAGTAAAATAGTTTAACCCACATTTTCAGGTTGAAAAATGTGGGCATGAAAAGATCAAACCCTTCATGCTGTAGATGAGCGTGCTGTGCTATCAGATAAACCCCCTCTATGCCTGGAAACGCCTAATTACTCTTAATTGTGCTTTTTATATGAATGGTGTCAGGGGCAGCCTTAAAAAACAGACCCCCCCCCCCCCCCCCCCCCCCATCTGAATGACAATTAGTGTAAATGGAGCAATTGAAGGCACTTGGGAGGTCAGCGGGCGGGGGCTGGGTTTTTTATGACATGGCTATGACTCCTCTGTCCCCGGGACGACTGCAGGAGGACACAGCTGCAGACGCCATATTGGATTCTGCAGAGATGTTGAGGTGACAGAAAGGTGGTGGCATGTCAGCTACTCAGGATGTTTGGAAGAAGTTTGTCTGGTAAAAATATCACAAAAGCACCATGACTGTAGGATTCTGTTAGGGGTGAATGATATCCTTTGGTACATTTCAGGTTCTGATAGTTTTCTTTACCTTTTTGATACTTGAACAAAAAATGAAGAAGAAATGAAGGTGGTTTAAATGTCAGGGTTGATTTGTAAAGTCCAATCAGTGCTGGGCTGTGCCTTATGTAAGCATTAGAAAGACACTGATTTATAGTAGGAAACTGCCTCATTCATCGTAGCTGAGACCAATTCAGGGCACTGTAGTGTGTGATTGTAACATAAAAAAAAGAAATCAGTTCTTCTTCTCTGCTGTCAAGTAGTAGTAGGTAGTGGCAGCCATAATACCTCCATGGTGAGAGCAAAGATCGGACTTGTGACAGTACAGTACATCTTCATTTGGACACTGTTTGCCTCAGTGCGCCATTAAATAATTATCTGAGCAAAAAAGAATGAGTTTAGGTAAGAGGCTGCATGCTATATAGGCTCCCTAGTGATGTAATATGAATCAATCCATCTTTGTTTACTACACCTGAACCCCCTTTTTACTTCAGGTGCACAAACAAACAGTTTAAAAACCTCTCAGTCAAGTACGAATAATATATACTGGCAAGAAAGTCCCCGTCATGCACCCCCAAATGCTGCAGGTATTTTCCCTGCAGTGTGCAGTAATACTTGTATGCTGCATATTTCTAACAGCTTTGCTTAATGCTGACACATTCAGGTCAAAGTGTTTGTGCAAAGTCTATCTTTCACTTTCACTCTGTCTCATAACAAGCCTTTTATTCTCTATCAACAACACCCGTTGCACAAGAGCTGTACTTAGTACACATTCAAGTCCGTATATAGACCGTCAAGTGATGCTTCCACTGTCTGTGATTGACTGATGTTGCTATTGGATACTGGATAAATGACACCAAAAAGACCTTTACAATGTGTTTGTGGTGATGACAAATTTGACGAAGTTGTGTCTGTGTGTTGAAATCTGAGAGAGAGACTCCTGCTCTGTCTCTGTTCCTCTTCCACACGCACACTGTAACCCCCCCGCACACACACACACACTCACTGGGAGCCTGGTGTGTATCCTGCTCTCCTGTGACACTCCATCAGTGTGTGCGTCTGGCTGCCTTCACAGCTCCTTAGTGTGTAGTGCAGCACCATGATCAAGCACTCAGCTGGGTTTTATGTTACACCATGTGGCTCCATGTGGAGAGGCGGTCTGTAATACTTGTGCGTCGGCAAGTGGCCCTCTGACTTTTCTGGTCCAGGAGGAGCACATACTGTAGCTAGCAGTTGAGCACATTCCTCGTACAGACTCTGTGCCGACTGAAAGTCCCACAACACAGACCAAAAAAAAGAGCATTTGTTTCACACAGCTTTAGGTCACATTGTTGGCCTTGTGTCTGGCTCTTTCTGCTCATTATGGAAACAACCGGGATGCTAAATCCATCACACATTATTGTGGTCGAACTGTGTGCAGACTTACGTGACAATCTTGTGACTTTTAAAAGTTTTTGTTTCCCTTGCTGAGCCCTATTCTGATATCATTTGAGGTCCTAAGCCGTTTTCACATGTGCACTGCTGAACATTTCTAAGAGAATTTTAGGAGGACTGCCCCCTGAAATCCTCCAGAACTGGTTGTTCACACATGCAGGACTTTCCCTGGCTGTCAGATGGGAGAGGAGGCAGGGGTCTCCTGCGTCAAGACATGACGTAAAGAGAAGGACTCGGAAGAGGCGGCTGAAGCAACAGAGTCCCCTCTACAACACTGACAAACGGAAAACATAATGCAGCATTGTTTTTGCGTACAAGGAGATCGCAGTGGTCACATGCAGACAGTCTCTGGCCGTGCACCGAGCGCAGGCGTCTGTTTCTTTAAAGTGATTCTCTCCAGAACAGCTGTTCTTGATAGGATAAAAATAATTTTACATTAAAGGCTTTATATGTGATTTTTTGATCCAGCAGACGTCGCCCTTGAGCACAAGCATGAAACCAAAACAACTCGTGCTGCATTGTTGTGTTAGCATGCTAATGCTAGCGATCTTTATTATGCTCGTATCTTCACACTGCATGTAAATTTACCTGAAATGAGCGTGATCTAGAAACACAGTTAAGCAGTGAGTACAGTATGTTATTCTTCTTTTCTCTAGTCCCTCAATTAAACAACTTTTATACATGAGGGGAGGAGTCAGCTGGCTGTCCTGACGATGTAAACAAACTGAAAATAGGACTCAGAAAACTCTGAAAGCATCACAGACAGTGGGAC